CTGGGATCTGGGACCCCAAAACTGGGATCTGGGACCCCCAAAACTGGGATCTGAGACCCTACTGAGACCCCAAACCCAGGATCCCACGGACACCCCAAACCCGGGATCTGAGACCCCAAATCCGGGATCCAGGACCCCAAAACTGGGATCTGGGACCCCAAAACTGGGATCTGGGACCCCCAAAACTGGGATCTGGGACCCCAAAACTGGGATCTGGGACCCCAAACCCGGGATCTGAGACCCCCAAACCTGGGATCTGGGACCCCCAAACTCGGGATCCGAGATTCCAAACCCGGGATCTGGAACCCCCAAATCCGGGATCCCAAACCCGGGATCTGAGACCCCAAATCCGGGATCTGGGACCCCACTGACACCCCAAACCCTGGATCTGGGACCCCCAAACACTGGGATCTGGGACCCCAAAACTGGGATCTGGGACCCCCAAAACTGGGATCTGAGACCCTACTGAGACCCCAAACCAGGATCCCACGGACACCCCAAACCCGGGATCCGGGACCCCAAACCCGGGATCTGAGACCCCAAACCTGGGATCTGGGACCCCAAACCCAGGATCCGGGACCCCAAACCCGGGATCCGGGACCCCAAACCCAGGATCTGAGACCCCAAACCCGGGATCTGAGACCCTACTGAGACCCCAAACCCAGGATCCCACGGACACCCTAAACCCGGGATCCGGGACCCCAAACCCGGGATGCGGGACCCCAAACCCGGGATCTGAGACCCCAAATCCGGGATCTGGGACCCCAAACTTGGGATCTGGGACCCCAAACCCGGGATCTGTGATCCCCAAACCCGGGATCTGTGATCCCACTGACACCCCAAAGTGATCCCACTGACACCCCAAACCCGGGATCCTATGGACACCCCAAAAGTGGGATCTGGTTTAAAAAATGAGGTTTTGGGCATTAAGATGAAGCTTTAGACCTCAAAAAGGGCATTTGGAAGTTAGAAATGAAGGTTTGTGCCACAAAAAATGAAGTTTTCAACCACAGAATCAGAGCTTTGGGCTCCAAAAGTGAAGATTTGGGACCTAAAGGTTCGGTTTGAGGATGTAAAAATGAGGTTGGGGCATAAAAATGAGGATTTGGGGCATAAAAATAAAGATTTGGGATGTGAAAATGAGGTCTGAGGACACAAAAAAAAATAGGTTTTCTGCTCTAGAGAGGGGGTTTAGAGCCCGAAAATGAGAGTTTGGACCCTCCAGACGTGCCTGGGGATTTCAAACTGAGGAAATCTGGTAAAAATGTCTGTGGGAAAGGCGGATTTGGGGGATGGGAGCAGCGCCGGGGGTTTGGGGACGCTGACCTGGCAGACACAGCAGCAGGAGCTCCGCCGCTCTCATCCTGCTGGAACGAGGGACGGGACGGAGCCGGAGGATCTGGGTGGGAACAGAGGGAATCCGAGTCAGGGGGGGATTCCAGAAAACCTCAGAAATGAAGGAATTTCCCCCGAAAGGCGTCCCGCCCCTTCCCAGGGGATTCGCAGGGACCAAGCCCTGGAATATCCCGCGGGCAGAGCAGGGAGGAGAAACGCCGGGATGTGGGATCAGTCCCGGGATGTGGGATCAGTCCCAGGATGTGGGATCAGTCCCGGGATGTGGGATCATTCCCGGGATGTGGGATCAGTCCCGGGATGTGGGATCAGTCCCGGGATGTGGGATCAGTCCCAGGATCGTTCCCGGGATGTGGGATTGGTGCCGGGATCATTCCCGGGATGTGGGATCGGTCCCGGGATCATTCCCAGGATGTCAGGATCACTCCTGGGATCCGGGATCACAGCTGGGATGGCGAGATCCTTCCCGGGATCATTCCCGGGATGTCAGGATCACTCCCAGGATCCAGAGTCACAGCTG